TGCTCCTTAAAGCTTCCCAGAATCCCTGTTGCAGGTTTGGCAAGATAATGCCCGGGACAAGATGACTGCATCAAAGGCAGTGTTGCACGGAACGAGAATACACAACCCACATACAGCATCCACACTAGGCGCATGCTCAGTCTCACTGGCGCATCATCGGTGATTTTTTAAGTACAGACTCATGCCAGGAGCTTTATTTGGTCCTAAAAGCAGAGTTCAGTAGCTCAGCAACATGGTGTTTTTGTCTAGGCTTCTCTAACACCGTGGTCATGTAGGTTTGACCATAAATCATGAGGCATTGGATGTGACGCCTTGGAAAACCTCATGTAAGAGAGCATCAAAATCTCCAGCCGCTCTCCAGATCTGGTGGGGTAACAGGCTGCAAGGGGCACTCTGAGCTGGCCTCTGTATTTCTGTCTTTTCTCACTGGAACTATGTAAATATATAATGCTGAGATCATCGCTGCCCCAAGAAAAGAGATTCTGGGTAGAGCCACAGAAATGACCAGTACTGACACAAGAATTATTCTGGACAAAGCCACAGCCAAAAGCAATGTGTTAAACAGCTTGCTTAGCCACGGAGCTGCACACGGTGCTGACAGCCCAACGTAACAGAACTCCCCAACACTGGAGAAGGATCGAAACTCGCTGGAGGCAAGGATATGAACGAGGAGCTTTACCTCTCACTGCTAGAAACCTGTCCTGCCTCCCTGCCCACCCCTGTGAGCACACAGGGAACTCGCTCACCCAGTTGCCTCGTTTCATAGAATCACCTTGAGAACCCTCAAGGTTTGAAGGGACCTTTAGAGCTCATCTAGCCCAACCCCTTGCACACGCAGGGTCACCGAGAGCACGCCGAGGTGCCTGCCGCTATACTCGTGTGCCACACAGCTCCCTTTAAAGGTCTTGCAGGACGTGTGCCGCTTACTTACCCGTAAAAAGAATACACATTCCTTAAAAAAAAATCTTCTCTTGCTATGTTTTCACTCAGGCTACGAGAGCCTGTGCAGGATCAGCATTAGTCGTGACTTGAGCCAAGCTGAGTTCAGAGCATGACAGGGCACTTCATGGGCTTCTAAAAGAGCTCGACGGGGTGCACGTTGGAAGAGCAAAGTGAGTTAGGGTATTTGAAATATTGCACAACGCTAACGTGCCTAACTACAGGAATAAACATTGGCCCCAGGCTGATATTTGCTACAGCACTTTGTTACTCATTTCCAGTATTTTGTTTTGATACCAGCTGGGCATCCTCCCAAGAAAGCTGGGATCTGCTTTCTCGGAATGGACAGAATTTGGAGGAGCGCTATGCAAGCACTGACATCTTCCCTCTCAATCGTTATCTGCAGCGACAAAATTACATGTTAAGAGGAAATTACTCTGATGGAGAATTCAAATGTAAAATGAAAAATTAACATTATTGCTTCGAAATGTTTGGCAACAGGGTTTTAAAACAGAGTTTTAACAATGAGTTTTAAGACAAAAGAAGCTTTGCTAACAGACACGGCAGGACCTGCATCGCTAAGGGTGTACGCACTTACTGCCGATCAAAGCAAACCCAATAGTCCATGCACAGGGCGGATTTCAAATGAACTTCCTATTTATGGGCTACAAAAAAGAGAAAATACGTAACTCAGGCAGAAAACTTTAATCTTAACATCTTAAGCAATCTTAAACAAATAAAAGAGTAAAAATTTCGACAAATATAAAAGATAGCAAAAAAGAAACTACTGTTGTCAAAATATGCAATAAAGAAATAACTCATTTTGAAATATAACTTGTTCCAATACATCAAAACACCAATAAGCATTCAAAAAAATTTAACAATGTACTTATTCCTTGAAAAGACATTTTCCATGAGAGTTTTGTTCAATATTGTATTGCCCTGCAGAGAGTTTCAATCATTGAAGAAAATAAAAATCCACTTGATCCCTGAAAACTCCATGGGAGATGCAAAGCCTTGCCCACATCTTGCAGCCAGGAGCTAAAAGGAACTAGTCATGGGAAGTCAAGCAACTTCTCTGATTAAAAAGCAAAACCACAACACTAAGACGTAAAATCACTGCCATGATGCCACTGAAGTGTTATGATTTGGAGTTTGTAGTAGGTAAAAATACATATTTTCCAAAGTCAAGAGGAATGGTATTAGAAACTGCAAGGAGTGGGATTTGCCCATTTATGGAGAAATCAGTTAGATGAGTGTTCACTGCCAGAACAGGGCTTAGGAGGGAAGGCTGGGTGTTAAGGTGCAAAATGGGTTTGTGTAGACAAACTGCTTATCTACATTAAAAACGCATTCCCATTTCCCAACTCATGGGTTTAAGTAAAATTCCTACAGTGTGCTGGGGAAAAATGACACAATCAGAGTTTCTGGGTTTGAGAGGGTTAAACAGCAAGCACTTTTACTGTAAGACTGAAATACTTCAGGTCAACAGCTAATACATACTGGCAAAAAAAAGACCGCTCCCTTTCAGATTTAACTAGAATAGTCAGGAAAGCCTAAGACAGACCAAAGCAGCTAAATTCAGGATCTTCCTGCTAGGGTGCAACAAGTGAATACAGCTTTGCAAGAACTCTACATTTCTATGTGTTCTCGGAAGCACAGAAAAGCTTTAGGATGAATTTATGTTTTGCAGTAAGTGGACTAACGCTCAATCTGCTTCCCCAAATTGAAACACATCCCTGAAGAATCTCAAGTCTTTGCTGTACTGTGGTCACTGAGGACCTGTCTAGACATGGAATTTCAGGAGGAATATTCACAAATTTTACCACAGGCAGACACCTCCTCATGGGTGCTCTTAGCAGAGGGATGGGTGCTTCCACAGCGCAGACCAGAGCTGGAGCTCCAGCTGCATCCTCGCTCCCTGCGCGCTGCCTTTGGGACAGCCTCAGAAACCCGACTTTTCCAGAGCTTGTCTTTAATACCTTTGCTCCAGCCTGCCAGGCAGGACACGAACAGATACATTCTTAACCAAGAGGGGGTGAACTACAGCTTTACAGCTGTGGTGGTTTTACAGGAAAACAGCCCATCTATTTTTCCTCTTATATCTTTTAAAAAGGTTCTGCAAATACGAAGACAGTATGTGAAGTGAGGGAAAGGAAAACTATTTCTGTAGAGTCAGAATTGCTACGTACACCAGACTAGAGCCATAGCCAGCAAGGAAAAAAAGCCTTGAAGGGGAAAAAATGAAAAAATGCCAACTTTAAACCTCCCGGCTATGCATTTATTAATCATTTGGTACTTTCAGTTCATTTATTTTGAAAAGCACTCGTTGTTATGTTCTCAGTTTTTGCTTTTCACCTTCGCCGAACAGTCTTTCAGGTCTAAACACCCATTTGAAAGAATCTGAGAATAACACACAGGGATTTTCTGCCTTTTGGAATGCTAATGCAAATAAACGTGGTGCACCACATTGGAAAGTGTACTAGGTAGTGATACTGACCTTGAAAATCAGAAGAAGAAATAAAGTGTAGCATACTCGACAGTCTTAAGACTTAATGAGCTTGAAAAGTACAGCTATTTATTTCTATTGTCCTCTTCCAAAGTGATGTATTACCTTTATTCTCTGTTTGGAGCAGTCACCAAAAAAATGTTTTTTCTTAGACAGTTTCCTGCTTCCAGGATGACGCTGTCTTCATTCTTCCATTTGCTCCCTCCACTAGCTCCCCCCACCCTAAAAAATCTGTTTGTATAACATCTATTTTAGTAGAATGCACCCTATATTTAAAATTAGTTCTAAAGAATTATTTTAGTAAGCATTTTTCAGATGTTCAGGCAGGCAGGCAAAGATATACTCATTACCCAGACATATATCAGAACTATCTGTCCTCAAAAGACGGGAACTGACACCACGATCGTTCCAAACATTAAAGCTTCTGTATCGGAAAAGAGAGTCAAATACTGTAAGTCAGTGCAAATAAACAATCAAACAAACAAAAAATGTGGTAATTCTGAATAGACAGATGCATTCGTTTGAAACAGGCTGTTAGGGTGGAAAGGGTTATCTTGCGTTAATAGTTTTCTTTACACTGCTTATTGAAAGTTCTTTCCTTTTTGATGAGATAGTGTGACCTAAAAGATATAAGTTTAAAATATTCTTACCGTTGTATTTTGTAATGAAAACTCAGTATATATTGTACAAACATCCAAAATTCTTTATTTCGGGCTGGTCTAGAATTGTTACAGACATCCACGACTTCCTTATGACTTGCACATAATCGAAGATGGCACTGCCAGCCTTTAAAAAGCTAAATGGTTATTACAGCACAGTCACAAAGCAGCCAAACAGCTTTACTTGGGTTAAGGATTGCTCTCTAACAGCATTTATGACCACTGCATAGATTGTTCTCTTTGCCTACAAGCGGGCAAGAGGAGGAAACTTCTGTTAAGTGAAGAAACACAGATGGCAGCTCTGTTCCCAAAGCAGTCATTGCATCAGTGGAAGAGTGATAGATCTCTGGACACACTGGACATTTTCCTCCATTGCTGTCAGCTGCTTTAGCCAGTCCGTGGGCTTGTTCAGAATGACAGTAAGCATACTTTCCATTCCTGCTGTTCATTCCTGCTTTCATCTTTATAATCACTAATGAGACTCCACACTTGAAGAACCAAGGGTAATTTCTTTTCCTTTTTCTTAATTTTTATTTCTCTTCCTGAATCAGTAGACTGTCAGTTTAGCTGTTCCCTGATCTAAGACATTGCTTTGTAACCACTAGTTAAAATCCTCTCTAGAAATATCAATTCTCTTCTATCAAGACAGCAGCACCAGAGATATTTCGTATCACTTAACTGTAAAAACGTAACACAATGAATGCACTGTACTGGTTATGTCTGGTTATCGTGATAAATTTAACAATTAGCATATGAAATGAGTTTTAGATACTTAAATGTACCAAAGGCAAGTTACTGAGAACACTAGAAATATCTTACAGACAAAACATAGCAGTATGCCCTGCTACCATCACATGGGTCTCCCATGAAACATGATCGATTGGACGGTCATCTGGAAAACAAGCTGATGACTGTAACGTTATAAAAATAGCAAAACAACTATTTGCTCATAGTTAGTAGAGGAACAAGTGTCGGGAGGAGGAATGTAAGCGTGATCCAGTTAACACGTATCCTACTTACACGAGGGTACCTCCAAGCCACACGAAGGGGAGTTTCGCTCGGACATTAAGAATCAAGATTCCGCTCCGACACGTGCAAGCATCTGAACAGACTCCGGGACATAATTCCAAGGGGATTTTTCTGAGCATCACGCAGCCCGTACAAGCGGTATGAATTCCAGTGGTTACTGAAATGATACTTTGTTCATATCAGTCCAGAGGGGAAGCAAGCACCAGAAATGTTTATACCTTGCTTCCATCAGTGGTAAATTACAAAATATGCAGCTATATGGATAATTCATTTTTAGGCACATCTTTGGTCACATTCTCAATAGAGTCTGCTTTACAAAAAATAAATAAAAATAAAACAGTAAAGGGCAGAGATAAAATCTCCTTGGTTTTCAGAAAGCAAGACAGTAGAAGTCCAATATGATGTTGTATCACATCCATAAACGATAAAATCCCAGTGCTACAGTAAGGCATGTAAATACTGAACCTGAAAGACAAAACAGAAATGGGTTGAAAAACAGGAACTGTACTTTATTAGCTCTTGGAATATTTCTTCAGAAAGCTGTGTATGCATCTTGCTACAATACTCTGTTACCTCTTGTCCGTGTCAGAAAATAAGGGTTTTTATTCACAGAACAAAGGTTTTTTAATTTAAAAAGAAAATTAACAATTGGGAGGGTTGAGGGGCAAGGAGTACTAAAACGACAAAGCAGGAGGAGGAGAGGGAATGAAAGTGCAGGAAAATTGGTCTGGAAAAACTATCAAAAGGCTGAAAAAAAAATCCCGTAGTTGCTTACCCTTCTAAACAAGATCAATATGGCAAGTCACAGTTAAAGTGAAGAAATGAACAAAGGATTATTAAATCACAATAAACTATTTAACAAACAAGTAAGCATAAACTGTCTTTTACTGAAGCTTAACAGTTTGCAAACTTAGTGTTTCTACTGAAATAAACTCAGTGTTTGGGTTCCACATTTTTTCCATTGTTTTCAATCGGATTACTTCAAATACAATGAATTTTTTTCTTTTTTTCTCTTTATTTTTCCCTCTCAATTTCCATGCAGACTTGGTGTGCTATGGTTCTCAGTAAAGGATACCTCTGAACTAGCACCCTGTGATTAGATGTGATTGTACTTGTGACAAAATTCATTGTCAAAAGATGATCAAAGTTCTAAATAGAAGAATTCTAAAAGAAAGAAGGATAATTTTCTATTGCAGACATGCTCACTTGGTAGCACTGCTCAGCACTAGTCAGAACTACACAGAGAATGTCAAAACACTCAAGTAATCTGGAGCAATTATACAGATACATAATGTATATTGTATTTTCTTGTGCACATGCCTGAAGAATCAGTTTTAAGAAATTGTAGTGCTGAACTGTCAGAAAAGCCAAAAGGTTCTGCTTTGCAGACAGATCTCCACAGTGGGAATGCATCAAGCAGCTTTTATGAAAACATTTTTCAAAGCCAGTTCTGTGTTAATCAGATATTGCGCTTTTAAGAGGCATAGGAGATTTTTTTTTTGACCCTTGTGGAGAGGCAAGTTAAGTCTTTGAGACTTCTCATGCACCTTTCTTAGTACAATACAAAACTGGGAAAAAGCATACAGATAAAGTGCATTCAAAGCCCAATAAAGTGAATTGTAAGAATCTCACTTTGATTAATCTCACTCAGTTTAAGCACGTGGATGCGACCAGTATCAATGGAAATTTTAAGTATTTTTTTGAATCTGGGTTTTTGCACATATTCTATCAAGAATTAACGAGAAAAAAATAAGTGTTTTAACAGTTTCATGTTTACTTTCAGATTACTGACCTGCTAAGTACTTAATATTGTCCAGTTTGTGCGATTCCAGCATTGTCTTCAGACCTGCAACTTCTGTGTCTATTTTTCTGTCAGTCTGTGTTAGAGCTCGATCCTGTTGTGCGTGCTACAAAGAAAAACAAAAAATTACTCCATTTGAACAGCTTTCAGTTTACTTATAAATTAAATCTATACCTTTAAGCTCTTTTTTGGCTCCTCCTTAAATGTATGTTAATGAAGCATTTAATTTGCATTCAAAGCTAACAAGTTCCTTCCTGGTTGATTATATCCAAGGAACTGGATAATTTGGTGAACTCAGCAAATTTGTATGATTACTCCCTCCCTAACGCATCATCCACAAAGTGGCAGAACTGGATGTTGCCTTATCTCAGTCTAGCAGCATAATGATTAACTTTAACATCCGTGGGCCAAACGACACATTGGGATCACTGCTCAATTTTCAGTTACTGTTGATCAGGAAGTCTAAGAGTCTCTTGTAGCAGAAATATATTGGAATATAAAGATTTAGGGAACATTAGAAATATTGTCAATTGCTCTTCTGACTTCAGCAGCATGTCTTCATCTTGTAATGAATTCTACCATAAAAACAGTAACAGACAGACAGAAGACAGCACTTCTGAACAAAATGTGATGGAATTACTCAGAAAAGACTGAAAGATCAGCAATATAAACTGAGAACAACAGCTGTTGTGTCGCTGAGGCTTTCAGATCAGCACTACTGAAACACTCAATTAATGATTTACTGCTAGTCATCTTCCCACAAATAATTCCTATGCTAGAGGACTCAAATGGAAGGAAGAGGAAGAACTTGGCAAAAAAAAAAAAAACCTGTGAAGAAAAGCCAAATCAATCTAGCAATTGGTTTCAGTTTCACCTAAAATGGAAAGAAAAAAAATCAGTGTCAAAATAAAGTGACCAATGAATAGCTTATGCATATCCTGCAGGAATCTCTAAGTATATATAAAACTTTTTTATTCTGTAGCACACTTCAGTTACCAATATGGAAATACACATGGAAATAATATCGGACAATGGCATTTTAAACATTTAAGTGCCTGAAGACATGAGCAATTTTAAAAAGAGTAACAGATTTATAGGGCCAATACAAGAAGATTTGTTATGCGAGTTAATAATCAACTCCCAAGCTCTTACCATTTCCACTATTTCTGTCCTCATTTCAAGTAGTTTTCTTTCATTAAGTGAATACTGGTTAAAAAGAAACAAACAAGAAAAGATTGAAACATGATGCTGTCTTTTATTTACACTTTCAAGTATGTGAAAGAGTGTATGTTTTTTTAGTTTCAAATTCCGTAGGATGCTGAACCTGTCAACAAGACTGGTTTCCTGACAATGTTTAGGGATAGTACTATAGAATGGCTGGCCTTTACCTTTGGGAAAAGGAAATTTACACACAGGTGTTTAACCACATCCCTGAGCTGTAAAGTGGAACAAATCTACCAGAGACTTTGACTACAATTGCATGAACGTATGAACAATTGGAAGAAAAGATAGCAGATGCACATCTCTGAAACACAAAGACCTTAGATTTAGAATTCTATATAGTAACTCTGAAACAGTTAACTAATTCATTAGATGCACAAAGACAACTTCAAGATGGTCAAGATTAAACTATCCTGTCCCCAGCAAGGGCAGTATGGTTTTAAAATATCCTATGAAATCTAGCTATGAAGGAAATGTTTAGCCAGTATAGCTGATCACCACTCGAAACTTTGAGATGATGGTCAGAACAACACACCACCAGAAACTATCACTCAGATGCACTAAGCTTCTCCTCATGGTAAAGCACTCATTTGCAGAACAGCAGCAGCAGTGGCTTATTTATAAACGACGGCTATTTGGGCTCAAGGCAAGTTAAACCAGATGCAGTAAGAGGCAATACCTGTAAGGCAGGATATGGTGCTGCCTCACGAGCAGGCATGATTTACCCTGACATCTGGAACGGCTCCTATCCCACTACTGGAGCAATTCAATTATTCACAAGGCAGCTGCTAAACCACCAGTCTATTAAGGTCATCGCAAGCCCATCTCAGAATCCTCCGTTCAACAGCAGAAACCTCCTCCGTTGACATTACCATTTGGAAAGTCACTTTATTTTTCTCCAGTCTGGAAGCTTATTCCACTTTAATATTAACTCAGATTAATCAATATAAATGCCTCAGCACTGAAAAACGCTCCTTAAAGATCCAAAGCTCTATTTGGACTTCTGACCAATCCAAAGATGAAGCTGAGAGGTAGCAGAAGGCTAATAATGTGGGAAATGTTGTATCGTACAGGCAAATAACAGCATGTCTACAATTAATGAAACCCCAGTACCTAGAATCTCCTGAAGGAAAAACAAAATTCAGACATTTTACATAATAACTTGTTTTTGAAAGCAATAGCAAAATACCTATAAAAGAATCTAATTTAAAAATGTCTGAGGTGAAGATTCACATCAGAATGGGACCTCACGACATAAAAATAAACTGATCATCACTATCAGAATAAGCATTACATTTAAAACAACTTAATGAAGTAGCTAGTCAGTTACTTGAAATAGATGCTGTTAGCCAAAAATAAAGTATCTGATTTATCTCCAGAGATAAAACATGTACAGCTTAAAACATTTAAAATTGTCCTGTTCAGCCTTGACCAATTAAGAAATTCTCCTTCGGTACTCAATTCCAACAGGACTGAAGGATAAGAGCATTTCACTTAGGGCTTCAAGTTAGGTTGATTTATAATTAGGACTTCTGAATAGCATTTTAGTAAGAGATGCATAGTGGGATGTCAATTATCCAGAGTGATATTCTCAGAAAGCCACAGAATTAGTCACAAGTCTTAATTACCTCCAAATAAACACGCTGTTATGCTATATGCTATATATGCTCTGACTACTACTCAAAGTACTGAGTTAGGTCTCTCCCCCAGCTCAACATACACGCTACAGTTCGTCTTCACTTTTCCTGTTCATACATGGCAAAGTTGGCAACTTAAGGAGAAAAAAAATATATATGTACTTGTATAGCACCAAGAAGGTTAGCCTTCTTCAGGAGGTTGACATGCACAAAATTTGCTTTCCCTGGGAGGCAGTCAATGAAGCAGTTCTCTGAGCAGCAGCCTGAGACCAGCTTCCAGGATTCTATATAAATATACAAAAACAAGTGCTCCCTCCCACTCCCATTTATCACCTGTGAAATAATGGGTTTAAAGAGGGTTTGCAAGCCCAGGATATGGGCTTATGCCTATGGTCTACACAGTTAGTACACTTCATGTGAAGCGTTTTTCTGTTGTTCCTTTAATGTTTGCATGAAATATTAACCTTTAAAAATGAATGTACTTATTCGAGCATTTACCATAGGTAATGGTGTTAAGTCATTATATTAAACTACTAACATGGTTGTTAACTAAACTAATCATTGTGAATAATCGCGAGTGGCACATACAAAAAACAGATGAGTTTTACTTGAACAGTTCTTATTACCTAGATTCAAGATAAATATTACTTCTTCATTATGTCCCTGTGAAAAGCGATTGAATAGGAAATAAAAATCATGGAAAATATTATTAAAGGGCAGATGTATGGGAATAGAGTACTACATATAAGGCAAAAATCTGTTTATCTTCTATATTATTCTGATTGAAGATTGCATTAAAGTGGTTCTAACATTTGGAAGTAAAAAACCAACCATATTCATTATCAGTTACAATCAATTACAATTATTTTCACAATAGGATTACCTTATGAGCTAGCTATGGAGAAATGAAATATCTTCAATAGTGGTAGTTTAATGAAATGTTTAACTTTCATTTAGTGTGAAAAACAAAGATGTACTACTGAAAAAAAAAACTTCAGGCAAGGAGTCAGTATTTTAAAATATAAAGATTGAATATATATTGAACAGTACCTTGTAAATCCCAATATTAAAACAGTATCAAAATATGTGGATGTATTAAAAACAAGCATGCCACCTTATACTAAGGTATAAGCAATTTGAGCTGACCTCAACTTGAAGAGAAATGATACCACAGAAATCATATTCTTACCCAAGTTTGAAGATTATTCAATGTTTCGATGTTTGTAGAAAAATGCTGCCAAAACTTACCAGTTCTTTTACTCTGCTCTTCTCTAGATTGAGGTTTAACTTATTATCTGCACGAACTTTGGTAATTTCATCCTAGTGGAAAAAAAATGATAAAGTAGCGAGCAAAAATTTATCTCTAGCCAACTATAAGCAAATACATGAGATAAAAAAATATATATGCCTTTCATTACATATCTCAGGAATCGAGTTTCTCTCTAATTGAGGTGCATTTTCCTCCAAACTTCAGTATTCCTGTACTTCTCCTGGAGAAATAACTCATGTACTACAGGACAAATTGCATCTTAGAATCAAAAACTGACAATTGCTTTTGAAGCCAGAGCAGAAGTTAAACTGACAGCACATCTTTCCATAGATGCTAGAAATACTTCATATATCTCATGATTCATTCAGATCTCTAGAAAACTATGCCTATCTACATACGCGAGTTGTACTTTATGAAGCAGTCTTGATGCTCTGAATAATTTCAAAAAGTAGTTTCTAAACCTTCCAATCAAAAAACAAAACAAAACCAAAAAGCTATTTATAAAGACCACAGTTAGGGCTTTTAGAAAAATCTACGGACATCACAGAAGCCAGGATTTTTATCTTGTTTTTTCCCTCAGTGACAGCTGCCATTTTCATGCAACCTCCCGGCAGGAATTCCAGGCTGCTGACAGTTTGTCATAAGGCAAACTGCTCATCAGATGAATGTGTGGGAGAAGGAAAAGATTGATAAGTCTTCCAGGAAATTCTACTATTAAAAACAAGCAAGCACCTCTCGAGTAGGCCAGTGTTAGCTAGTTCACCAAGTTATTATCAAAAATAATTATATTCAAGGAATTTCTATTTTAACATTTTTGTACTTAATAATTTTATAATTAGACGTCATCACAACACTTGATATGTTATAATTTTGTGAAATTGCTAAATCTGAAATAACTTTTTAACAAACATACAACATTGAGTCATTCTGTCTTTCAGAAGAAGGAACAAGTATGACTAAATGATTATCACAAGGATAGTTATATTTACAGTTAAAAGTTAAAGATATCCTGTGTTTATATGAAAAACACTCAAATCTTCATGTTCTACCACTGGATCCCTCCAGCTTACACAAAATGCAAATAAAACAATAAAGTTATAAATTAAAAATCAGATGCCTAGCTTTTTAAAACTGTATTTGAAAAAAAAACAAATACATTAAGCACTTCATAAGGTCATGTAAAACACATGATCAGCCCTGAGAAATCCTCATTCTCCTTTTGGAAACAACAGCACAACGAGAAAAAAAAAACCAAAGAGACACTGGGAAAGAAAAGGCAAGGAGGAAGCTAGGTTGAACTTGAACACACCCTCAGTTTGCTGGACAGATCAGTATTTTGATAGATGCATGGAAAAAAATGCTAGTGCAGGAAAGGTGTTGCACCCTTCTGTGTGACAGTGACATGGTAAACAGCTGTTCTTAAGAAGACAATACTCCCTACAGACAGTTAATGGTATTTCCCAGTTTCCAAGCGTAACCAAATGCTTTTAAAAGATTTCTTCTTTCTGTGTAAAGGCTGCTTATGACTACACACCCAATGAAGGAAGAGGTTGTGAGACAATGTTGTTTCGGATGACAGAAAGGTCTGTTTGAACTACTGTTCAGGAGAGGCAAACCATAAAGACCAGAAAAAAAACCAGCAGATATTAAACCTAATAAGAATCTGTAGTTTTCTCAAGCAGTCTGTTTTCCACCTACGGTCACAAACATTTTTTCACAACCAAATTGGACCAAAATTCTTAAAGTAGCTTTTAATTAATTTATTTATTTTTAAATTCTTGGACAGCTATGACCTCAGGGAAAACCAACTTGTACCATAATGAACTAGTAAGTGACATTATTTTGAAAATACCTTATACTTTTACATTAATAAGCAGCCTTAAATGCAGAACTTCACTCAGCTTTAGCTATGACATGGCAACCAGCCACTTTCTGAATCTGAATTAACAACATCCAAGAAACAAAACATCTTCAGTTAAAGTTTCCTCATCATTAATAGAGCTTGCAGGGCTCTTACACCATTAATTAGGTATGCAAATTCTTTGCTGCAATCCCTAGTGCATCATTGCCTGCAATTCCAGTATAGGAATATAAGACTGCCATAGCCAAGCGCAACTCTTAAAATCTTAGAGAAACATTTTTTAAAGCAAACTAGATAGAAGTTAATTCTTAACCATATTAACATAGTATCTTACCATGACTTGCTTCTTTATCTGCAGGAGTTCGAGTTTTATTTTCTGTGGAAAAAAAAATTACAGTTTGACACTGTATATACAAAAATACATCATCTAAAAACACTACTACCAACACTACTTATTACTAAGTGGATTATCTACATGGATTCATTTATGCATGAGCTAACAACCTATCATTTATAAAGATCCCTTTAAAGGAACATAAATGAAAGACAGGTTAACTTCTTTCCCTTTCCCCGCTTTTTTCCTGTTTTTGTTTTAGTCTCCAAGCATGGAAGGATGCCAGAGCCTTCCCAGGCAACCTGTTCCAGTACTTGACCACCCTTACACTAAAAATGTTTTTATGTTTAAATGGAATTTCTTTGTGCCCATCCCTTCTCGTCCTTTCACTAAACACCATTTAGAAGAGAATGGCTCTATCTTCTTAAGTGCCCCCGATCCCTCCTGACCATCAGGTATCTGTCTATACAGATAAGATCCCCCTGAGCCTTCACTTCTCCAAGCTAAACAGCCCACTGCTCCCTCAATCTCGCTTCGTAAGACAGATGTTCCAAACTCTTACTCACCCTCATGGTCTTTCCCTGAACCCACCCCACGAGGTCCCTGCCTCTCCTGCACTGAGGAGCCCAGCGCTGGACCCAGCACCTATGTCTCAGCAGGGCTGAGCAGGGGGGCAGCAGCACCTGCCTCCACCTGAGCCCCTGCTGCCTCCTGCTCACCCTGGTGTCACCAGGACCCCCAGGCCCTTCTCTGCCCAGCTGCTCTGCAGCTGCTTGGCCCCTGATACATAAAAAATAAAAAAAAAAAAAAAAAAAAAAGCTAGAATAGCCTGTCACAGAATACTGATTTTTACCTCATTTTCTGAACGCAGTGCTGAAAATTCACTTTTTTCCAGAATAATCATATCCTTTTTCACGCCACCAATATGGGACATTATTTGTTGAAGAGCAATCTCCTAAAAATATAGACCAAAAACACACCTCAGGTCACATTGTAACTGTGATGCTTTTATCAATTGTGTACATAAATACGATGGGTTATTTTCATTCCCTGACATTTTTAATCCAACGATTTTTAATTCATTACTGTAGTTTCAGAAGATGGAGTAAATACAGACAGGTAAAAACAAAGTGACAAAATAAGGAAGTTAATATTAACACAGAGTAGAATTGCTCTATTAATAGCTTAGGAAACAGTTCCTTTCAGGTACTCCAACTCTGACGCTAGCAGAGGCAGTAGGGACAGATGAGAAGTCCCTGTGCTGAATGAGGAGAGCTGTTTCAGGCCAAGATTCCCCAATGCAAATGCACTCTTGTGCAGTTGCCCCCTTTCTCACCCTGTCCTGCAAGGGGGCTCACTGCTCTCTGCTAAGCAGCATCATGTGCTATACTCACATTTGAATTGCTCTTCTTAGTCTGTTGCAGAACACACATTCACATACACTCACTCCCTTTTCTTAACATCTTCCTCTAACAAATAGTGTCATGCTCGAGATTCTTGATGAACAGCACTACAAATCTGACATGGCACTTTAGCTTTGCTTTTGTCAGGAAATGCTATTCTTTCTTACAGATGTTAGAATTTTTTGAGACATCTGCCAATGCCTCACCAGGCTATATGGCTAAAAAAAAAAAAGTAGACAAAAGGGTAGGCAGAAAAATCTACAGAGAAAGTACCATCATGGACATTTCTCCTGCCTCCTCCTGGTTCCAGCCTATTTTTGATCTTCCCCATCTTCATGAATCTCACTAAGCCACAGAACAGTCTCTTCTATATTGTTCCTCTTCCTCAACTCTACCAATGCATACACACATTTTTCTAAGCATTATCTAACCTGTGTAATTTAATACTTCATCTTTTACATCCTCAACTAAGGCCTAACAGTAACAGCTACACCAATAAAGAGTGATATGAAATTTAGGCAGTTAAGGAAAATAAGAAAAACTACCACATAACTGCTCTTCCACTCTTCATCATTCTCTTGTATGAGCCCTTATACATTCAAGGAACTGCAGGTTTACCACATTGCTTGAAATCCATACACAGCACCTGACCTGCTTCTATTTTGCCAGAGCTGCATGGCTCAGTATGCCATACAAAGCTGTGCTCCTTAGAATAGCAATAGCAGAAAGTCACCTGAGGGCCTGACCTGGTAGACAGTCTCAGAGAATGTCTACATCAGCAGCAATGCTTGATCCAGTACAAAGCACAGGAAAAATGCCTGCTTTCATTCAGAAAAGCTAAGCAGAGAAGCAATGATCACCTATTGTAAAATACAACCAACCACAACAGAAACATTCCCTCTTAAAGCTATGTTCCTTGATGGACTATGGAAAAACATGGACATAGAAGGCAACAGTCCTATTTCTGCTTTACTTAGAGTCTAAGAGCTAGGAAGCATGGGCTAAAGCCTCCTTAGATTAAATGACCTACTGACAAGATTACCATACAAAGGCGGCAGAAGCCACTGCTTTCTCACATTTTAAGAGTAGCCAAGAAACCAAGAAATGAGTGAAGTGTTTATGCTCATAAGGTGACTTGGGCCTGGGCTGTTCCTGCACTCGAGGAAGAGCCCTAGAGGTGGTACTTGGCTTATCCTTCTCGTCTGCATTATCTGTTTGCCTAGCTTAGGTATCAGGGAATTCAAGCACACTAGATATTGCCAATCTCACTTCAAAAGCTCAAGTTTCACATGAGGGGATTGTCCTTTACTCTAAATTTTCATTTCTGGAGCCAGCTGTCTAAGGATTTGATGCATCAACATTCAACTCTGTCATGTCCAGTTCCTTATTCTACCTATCTTTGTATCATCGGACAACAGTCCACCAAAAATCAGTCAATACTAGAACAAGAGGCCTGGCTTCCAGAGTATTTTTTCATCCAGTCGTTCCCTCAAAAAACAAAACTAAGAATTCAATTCAGTTCTGTGCAATTTCCAGGTAGCCAGGAGGCATCTCTGCTTATGTCGTGCATTATCAGTCAACCTTTCCAGTCAACTTCATTTCCTCCCATCAAGATACAGGTACTGGATAGGAATAGAATGTACCATGAATAAAGTACGCGTCAGACATACAGACAGATCTCAATCTTAGTGTCCACAACACATATGTTCCTGTAAGCTCCCAACGTATGCAACTACATCAAGCCTTGAAAGCATCTTATAAGAAAAAGTACTGAACTCAATTTTAACACAATATGAATATCATGATAAAATGCATTAGCTAAAAGAAAGGCCAAGATGGTTGTTCTTCACATTTTTGAAATACAGTGTCTAATGGTAATAAATAAAATACCAAGGTATGTTTCATTAGCAGGTATACTAGGTTTTGATTTGTTTTAAAATTACCACCTTCCTGAGCTAACCTGTTGTACTTTGGTGACCATGTCCTTGTAAATCATATCCAGGTTGGTGTTCATAATTTTCACTAAGGCAGAAACAATGATCTCCGACTGCTGCGTAGTGAACCCTAAGCAAAACAAAATGCGGCAACACTCAGAAAAAAAAAACCCCAAAGTCTGTACAGTTTACAGAGATATCTCTTGCTAATTACTAGATTAAAAAAAAAAAAAAGTCATTTATGAAAAAAAACCCATACTCCTCTCTATCCACTGATATATATACACAAGCCCAAAACCAGTTGATACATCCACTCCACTTCCATTCAAAATTGTGTCTCTGACACAGTACAGCTGCTTTTATATACAGCTATATCACAGTACCAGCAAGACATGTTGGAAATTACTTTTCTAAACGTATTATGGAACATAGTCTTTCGCATGTAGTTATTTCTATGAGCAGGACTCTTGACCTTTTAGAGAAGAAACCCACTTTCAGGATACTACAAATAGTATCACAGAAAATACGCGAAGCCCAACAACTCAAAACAGACATAACTGCTCTGGTTTAGGCCTACCAGCCTCTGAGTCCCTAAAAAACTACTTAAGTCCTTTCAAACTGAATACATTATGAACTAATCTAACAATGGTATCATGCAAACAACTCAAACAGCCAAGGGCAAAATATGGTTCCCCAAAATACTATTACCTTTTGTTTTCAAAAAAAAAAAAAAAAAAAAAAAAAAGCAGGAGAAAGGTTTAAAAAACAGGCTTTAATTAAGAAGACTGTTGCAAAAGCACGATGGTTTGAAATTAACTAGCAGTCAAGTGCTAGAAAACACATATGGGGTCTGAGAGTGAGTCACTTCTAACAGCTGAGCTGATCTAATAGCTTGCCACCGCTAAAGGAAGAGATGCTCTTTCTCTCTTCTCACTCCTCCTCCTCCTGTGCGCTTGGGTGCTCCTGGAACTGCTCTGTAAACTCATTAAAATAACTTCTCAGATTACTATTGGAGAACTAGGTTGGCACAAGAAAGCAATGAAACCACATGGCGGGGGAAAGGATTGGGAGCTCTCCTTTTCAAGGACAGGGAGCTGTTAGAAACAAACTCAGCTGAATATGTCTTTACTCTGAGTCTGACCTTGATAACATTAATGCAAATCCAAAGTAATCTCTACTCTCATTTATGTTTTGACATAAGAAATGCTGTATTTTATAGAGTATTCTACATTCTATCTCAACAGCTGTGATTTTATAGAATAATAATCTATATTTAATCCTGTTATCACATTTTAAAGGTGCTATTACTAAATGTAATATAATCCAATTAATACTTTAGTGACACCTTGAAATCGTTTGTTACACTCAAATTTTAGAATTGAATTTTTCTTTATTTTTAATTAGCAAAAGGATAATAAATGATGCCAATCAAAGTTATATAAGCTCACAGTATCCTTTTAAAAGAAGAAAAAAATCTGCATGTTCCTTCCCAATATTTATGGAAACGATTTCATAAAACTGTGTAACACCAGGTATGAAGGAGAAGTAATTAATCAAACTTCATACACCAAAATACCGCTCATGAAATGACATCAAAAATAGTTATATATTTCTAGCAAATTACCATTTTCCTCCAAAAGGCACACCAGAGCATGAGTGTCAAAAAAGAGCTTCCTGTTTCCTAATAAGGAAAAATTCCCCTTGCTTTGTAGAGATGACGATGCAGAGATGCTCACATCTGTAAAGATAAACAAAATACAAAATCTATTTTTAAGAAAGAAAACTCAATCAATGCAACTGTTTTCCTTGAATTTCCTTATCGCCCCAGCTAACCAAGAAAGTAATTTCTTTCCTTTCTCACTAAATAACATGCACTCAGGTTCCACAATAGTTTTCACAACACTGTGAAGGTTTCTGACTGCTAGGTGCTATGGACACGAGCTAGAAAATAGAAGACAAGGCTACTGCTGTAGTTCTCAAGTATTTCTCAGGAATATTACCACATCCTGGAAGAATCTCACATGTCAGGGTCTCAAAATTGTTCCTTTAATGTAATGGCATAATCAATGGTGGGCATCCCACAGGTCTGACCACTAAATACACTATTGCCTCTTTCTGTTCATTGCTCAGGCCAGTCAGTCTTCACGGCTGGCTCCTGGTACAGAGTGCAGACATTTGCCAGTGAGCAATTTGCTGCTGATTATTTACATTTAACATTTTAGTTAAAATAATAAATAAATAATATATATATTTTTATATATATATATATAAAATATTTTGGGCAACTCTTTTTGGTGTGGATGGGCCTGGAAAGACGAACTGCCATTAGAAAACCACCAATATGTTCCTAATGGTCTGAGAGAAGCGGCACGTCCAGGGAAACACAACCCAGGGAAGGGAAACGGGGCAGGGCGGCACAACCGCGTGTCCTCCAACACCCGAAGCGCTTAGACAGAAAACCGGCCGTTTTTTGACAGTCTTCTTCGAGGATCACTAAAACCAGGGGATTTTAGCAGGGGAGCTGTCCTCACACCGCGCTCCCCGGGGCAGCTGCGGGCAGCGCCGGCCCGCTCCCCGCTCCCGCTCCCGGCGGCGCCGCTCTCACCGCGCTCGCC